TAATATTTATCTATTATATAATTCTTTTTACTTCTCTCTGTATATTTGAAATTTTTCATTGTGAAAGTTTAAAAAGAAGTAAGCTAGCTAGCTAGCTTTGAATGGAAAGAATTCTGAACAGGATCTGTTCAAGGAATATGGGAAATAAGCCAGGGATAAAGAAAAAGACTTCTTATTCTTAGCTTTTCTCACAGAAAAACTAAACTAGAAGGGAAACCTTCTGTTTAGCCTTAAAGTAAAAGAAATATGTATATTTATTGTTTTCCTTTGATTTTTGCTCAGTAGAAGAGAAGTTGGTGAAATTTCCAGAACAAAGGACTATCTTTAGCTTATAAGCAGTTGTTACTCTCTAGGGAGAAAAAGAGGTGAAAAACTTTAAAGGTAGGTGAGCTTTCAGTACTTAGTTCTACATGCATGTCGAGGGAGAGGCTGGTATGGGCCAATCTATGAACAGACTCTAAACCAAAATGAGAGTATCATATTTCTTAAGGTAATGACAGCTGTCATTTGAACTAAACTTTCATGTTTTAATTGGCCTCTCCATGTTATGGGTATCATACCTGATTGTAATGTGTACAAAATATATTAGATAATTTTGCCAACAAGTTAAACACATATATTTTATGTTAACATTTTTTGCATTGATGCAAATACCACTGCATTTGGCTTTATGGCATTTTAAACTGTGAACAGCACTAAATGTCAACAAATGGATCTGGAAATGATTACATTTTGGGTGATATTTAAACTAACACACTGAATCACATCATGTCATTTCCCCAAAGTGTAGGATGAGCATATGCAATAGTGAAAATAGCAAAGCTCATTTTAATGCAACATTTTAAATTAGTCAAGAGACAGCTGCTACCTGACCAAAAGGGGAAAAGGAACATATGCTGTGTGAGTAAAAGGCTTGAAGAGTTGGCAAATAAAGAAAAATGGTAAATAACTGCAATATTTTCACATGTGTGTCTTAAAAGTAATGTTCTTAATATAAAATTTTAAAGTATTTCAGGTTAGTATTCTGTGACATTCTAAAATTATCTTGAAAAACTATCAGAAAAATGCAGAGAAACATGATTTTCTTAAACACTAAGTTGTAAGCAACCACTGGACTTTGGTCTGCCCTGCACCCGTGAGGGCCACCACGCCTTTGAGACGGAGACCATAATGAAATACAAGATTAGTAACTCTACAGCAGATACAGATAAAAAAAATAGAGAAGCTGAGAAAAAGATGGAATCCATGAATACCCAGCATAGGAAAGAAATGGAAAATATGAAACACATCCAATCAGATACCCAGGAGATAACAAATTTCATTGAAAGTTTCCACAGCAGAATAAGTGAATTTCAGATATAGAAGACAGGATTGCAGTTAGCAAACACAAAAAGAAGGACTTCTTAAACACAGCAAGGGACCATGAGAAATCAATCCAACAGCTACTAGATGATGCAAAATGGAATAACTTAAGTTTGATTGGAGTCAATGAAGGAGTAGGAGATAGCGCAAAAGACATAAATAAACTAGTCACAGAATTGCAGAAAACTTCCCAAACAGGGAAAAAGAATTTGACATAAAAATAAGTGAGGCATATAGAACTCCAACTAGCCATGATCAAAAATTCTACAGTTAAGTATATAACAGTCAAAATACCAGAAATCCAAGATAGGAACAAAATATTAAAAGTAGTTAGAGAAAAGAAACAAATCACATACAAAGGAAAGCCCATCAGACTCACAGAAGACTTCTCAACACAAACCCTCAAGTCAAGGAGAGCATGGAGTGAAGTATTTCAAACCCCAAAAGAAAACAATTTCCTTCAATCCCCAAGTTTGATCCCCAGTACCAAAACAATTTCCAACCCAGACTGATGTATCCTGCAAAACTATCTTTTCAAAATCGATGGAGAAATAGGATACTTTCACAACAAAGAATACTTGAGAAATTTCATGAATATGAAACCAGCACTCCAAAAAAATTCTAAACAATATCCTAGAAAAAGACAATAAGGATTATAACTTCATGAACCTCAACAGAAGGAATCCATAAGGAAAGGCAAGAAATTAAATGGAAGGGGTGAGGAGAGCCAACAACAGGAAAATAAGTCAATAATAGCAGTTATAACCATCAATGTTAATGGTCTCAATTCACCAATCAAAAGAAACTGACTGGCAAAATAGATCAAGATGCAAGATCCAACAGTATGCATGTCAGAAATACACTTAATTCAAAAAGAAATGCATAGGGCTGGGGATTTAGCTCAGTGGTGCCACCCTCTGCCTCGCAAGTGGAAGGTCCCAAGTTTGATCCCTGGTACCAAAAAAAAAAAGGAAATTTACAGACTGAAAGTCAAAGGATGGAAACAATATTCCATGTGACAGGAATCTGGAAAAAGTCAGGGGTAGCTATTCTATTTGCAGAGAAAGTGGATTTGAAACCAAGACTGATTAAAAGAGACAAAGTCACCACATCCTTGTAAAGGGAACAATCGAAGAGGAAGAGATAACAATCATAAATATATATGCACCAAATAGCAGTGCACCCAAGTATACAAAATAAATATTAATGAACATGAAAAATCAAATAATCACTAATACAATTGTTGTGGGGCACCTCAATATCCCACTGTCACAAATAGATCAACTAGTCAAAAATATCAAATATGAAATACTAGAACTGAACCAAACTTTTGAAGAAATGGGCTTAACAGATGTCCACAGAGTGTTCTACCCCACAAAATCAGAATACACATTCTTCTCAGCTACACATGGGATGTTCTCCAAAATAGACCACATACTAGCATATAGAACATGCTTAAGTAAATGAACAGGAACTGAAGTTAACCCTTGTATATTATCAGACCATAGTGCAATGAAATTGGCGATCAGTAGCAAAAGAAACCACAAGAGCTTTACAAACACATGGAACAACCAATGGGTCACAGAGGAAATTAAAGAAGAAACTGGACAGATTATACAATTAAATTATAATCCCAATACAATATACTGGAATTTATGGGACTCAATGAAAGCAGTCCTACAAGGGAAACTCAGCAGTGAATGCCTATATTAGGAAAACAGTTCAAGCTCAAATAAACAGCCTAATGCTGAACCTCAAAGCTTCTAGAAAAAGAGGAAGACACACCTAAAGCTCATACAAGGGAAGAAATTATAAAGATCAGAACACAAATCAAAGCAATGGAAACTAAGAAATGATACAAAAAACTTCTCAATGAACCCAAGAGTTGGTTCTTCAAAAGAATAAATAAAATTGACAAAGCCCTAGCCAACTTCATCAATAAAAGGAAAGAAAAGGCTCAAATCCATGTAATTAGTAATGAAAGGGTGAAACTGCAACAGATCCAGCAGAAATCAAGAGGATCATCAATACCTACTTTGAGAACCTGTACTCTAGTAAGATGGAAAACATAGAAGAAATGGACAGATTTCTAGATACATTCCTAGATACCAAAATTGAACCAAGAAGATATAAAAATTCTGAACAACCAATATCAATATAAATTGAAAATGCAATTAAAAATTTACTAACAAAAAAAGAAAAGCCCAGGTCCCGATGGCTTTACTGCTGAATTCTACAAGAAATTTAGAGAAGAGCTAATACCATGACTTCTCAAACACTTTAATGAAACTGAAAAGGAATCAATACTCCCAAATTTGTCCCTGGAAGCAAGCATTACCTTGATTCCAAAAGCAAAGACCCAAGCAAAAAAGAACTACAGACGAATATGCCTAATGAACACGGATACAAAAATCCTCAATAACATACTGGCAAACAGAATGCAGAAGATCATCAAGAAGATCATACATGCTGACAAAGTGAGATTCATTGCAGGGATGCAAGGATGCTTCAACATACATAAATCAATAAATACAATACACTTTATTAACAGAATCAAGGACAAAAACCATAGGATCACCTCAATAAATGTACAAAAAGCATTTGACAAAATCCAACACCGATTCCATGATAAAAACCCTACTGAAAATTGGAATAGATGGTCTTTTATCTCAATCTGATAAAAGCCAACTATGAAAAACCAACAGCCAACATCATACTAAATGGTCAAAAACTGAAAGCCTTCACGCTAAAATCAGGAACACAACAAGGAAATCCACTATCACCACTGCTGTTCAATATAATTCTGGAAACATCAGCCACAGCAACTAGACAAGAGAAACAAATAAAAGGAAGAAAAATACGAAATGAAGAAGTTAAACTGTCATTATTTACAGATAACATGATACTTTATATAGAAGATCCCCAAAACTTCATCCAAAGACTTCTAGACTTAATAAACAAATTCAGTAGAATAGTTGGATACAAGATCAACACTCAAAATTCAATACCTTCTTTTTTTTTTTTTCTTAAATTCTTTTATTGGTACATTTTAGGTATACAACACAATTACACTTCTCATTGGGAACTTGTACC